TTTTTGCCTAAGTTGGGTTTTGAATGTTAAATAGTGAGGAGACTATCTCACATACTTACATTTGTAGTTGCAGTTCCAGGGTTTTTTCGTTCCTTTCGTAAATTCTGTTTTCTGTCTAGTATCATTTGCCTTCTGCCTGAAGGACTTCCTTTATTACAAACATCTAGATGATGACTTCTTTCAATTTTTGCATGTCTGAAAATGTCTAGAAATTGTTTCATTTAAAAAAAAATAATTTATTTGAAAGGTAGAGTTGGAAAGAGAGGAGAGAGAAAGAGAGAGAGAATCTTCCAACCATTGGTTACTCCCCATATGGCATCAATGGCCAGAGCTAAGCCAAGCAAAAGCCGGGAGCCAGGAGCCAGGAGTCAGGAGCCAGGAGTCAGGAGCCAGGAGCCAGGAGCCAGGAGCCAGGAGCCAGGAGCCAGGAGCCAGGAACTGCCTCTGGGTTTCTCACATAGGTGCATGGGCCCAAGCACCTGGGCCATCCTCTGCTGCTCTCCCAGCACAGCAGCAGGGAGCCATATTGGAAGTGGAAAAGCCCGGACTTGAACCGATACTCACTTGCCTTCATTTTTGAAGGATATTTTTGCTGCATGTGGAAGTGTAAATGACAGTTTCCTTCAGTACTTCAGTATATCCTTCCAATTCTCCTTGCTTGCATTGTGTCTGACAGGAAATCAATATCATGATTCTTCATCTGTTTTCAGTACACATAGATTTTCTTTTCCACTGGCTTCTTTTACAATTTTTTTCTGTATCAATGGTTTTTTTTGTCTAGGGCTCATCGTATGTTCCTTGATTGTAAATTTTTCCAGTCTGGTTGGAGAGAATAGGCACTTCTTCTGGTCAAGTGTGAACAATGCATCCTCTTCTCTCTAACCTTTTCTGATGGTTCTTCCTCTGGAGTCAGGAAATGCCAGCACACATGCGTGTTATGGATCAACACCCTTAACTATTTGAGTAGAGTTGCATATATTGCTCTTTTGCTGAGTAAGCCAAGCAAAAACACCTGCTATTGAAAACGAAGTGGCAAAAACTGTCCAAGAGTTTCCCAAAAAGACAACTGCTTCTCTGTTAAGTGTTTTAGAATCACAGAGTGTTCAAATCTTTTTTATATTTTTATTATTTAGAACTAAAATGTTAATGTGAGTGCAATAAAGCTTATTTCTTTTAATAAAGGATCTATTTGCTTTCATATGTAGGCCACAGATCAGCTTTGTCCTTGATTTTGGAAAAGACATTCCTTACTAAATTAGAGCTTCAGGACAACTGTGAGGCATGCCGGAAAAGTCACTGATTAGGTTACACACATCTATAGCAGACTCCTGTTCCGGTCCAGCCTCTACTAAGGCACACCCTGGGAGACAGCGCGTGATGTTTCACGTATGTGGCTCTCCGCCACGCACAGGAAAGATCCACACTGAATTCCTGGCTCCTGACTTCGACCCGGTCCAGCCCCAGTTATGTCAAGCGTTTGAGAAGTGAACCAGCGGATGGAAGCTCTCTCTCTCTCTCTTTCTCTCTCACTCTGACCTCCTAATAAAAAGGAGATGAGAGGAGATGAAAGAAGAGGAGAGGAGAAGTATACTTTCTTAAGTTAAAACAGAATCAAGATTTGGTAATACAACTGCTGAGATAATTATGTTAGGGTCTAGTAATTTTAGTAAAGTTGCTCTCCTAATATTCCCTGTTTTTCTAGCTTCTGCAACAACTCCACCTGCCCCCACTACCTCACAAACACTGTTACCTCATTTTATTCATGTTAAAATTTCTATTTATTGGGCCTAGCACAATGGCTCAATGGCTCAATCCTTACCTTGCAAGTCCCAGGATCCCATTGAGTGCAGGTTTATATCATGGTTACTCCACTTTAAGGATAGCTCTCTGCTTGCGGCAGAAATCTTTCTCTCTCCTGCTCTCCGTAAATCTGATCTGCCTTTCTAATAAAAATAACTAAAATCTTCTAAAATTTTATTTATTTTACTTTTATTTATTTGAAAGGGAAAGAATAAGAGATCTTCCAAGTGCTGATTCACTCTTCAGATGTCCCCACCAGCTGGGACTGGGCCAGGACAAAGCTAGCAGTCTGGAACTTAATCCAAGTCTCTCCTGTGGGTGGCAGTGACCCAACAACTTGGGTTATCAGTTGTCACCTTTGGGAATGTACATTCACAGGAAGCAAATTGGAAGCAAAGCCATGGCTTAACGTTACACACTCCAGTATGGGATGCAGATGCCCCAAGTGGGGGTCTTAAAATGCTCTTCACTTCATTTTTAAGAAAGATTTTATTTATTGGGCCCGGTGTGATAGCCTAGTGGCTAAATCTTTGCCTTGCATATGCTGGGATCCCATATGGGATCTGGTTTGTGTCCCAGCTCCTCTATTTCCTGGCCAACAAGCTGCTTATGGCCTGGGAGAGCAGCAGAAAATGGTCCAACACTCTGAGACCATGCACCCATGCGGGAGACCTGGAGGAGGTTCCTGGCTTCTGGCTTCAGATTGGCTTAGTTCCAGCCTTTGTGGCCGCTTGAGGAGTGAACCAGCACAGGGAAGATCTTTCTGTCTCTCTCTGTGAATCTGGCTTTCCAATGGAGATAAATAAGTCTTAAAAATATATACATATATACATACATATTTATTTATTTGAATGGCAGAATTACAGAAAGAGAGGAAAGATGAAGATCTTCTATCACTGGTACGTTACCCAGATTGCCACAACAACCAGCACTGAGTCATGCCAAAGCCAGGAGCCAGAAACATCCTCAGGGTCTCCTACATGAGTACAGAGGCCCAAGCACTTGGATCATCTTCCTTCTGCTTTCCCAGGCACAGTAGGAGGGAGCTGGATCAGAACTAGAGCAGCTGAAACTCAAACTGGATGCTGGCACTGCCCATTAGCAGCCCAAGCTGCAGCACCACGGTGCAGGCTTCAACTTTCCACCTGAGTTTTTTAAGGCCAATATTTCCTTTTTTTAATTTTTTACTGATTATTATTATTATTGTCATTTTATGATACGGTTCCATGGACCCTGGGATTTCCCTTACCTTCTCCCCAAGTCCTATCCCTTCTGTCCCACTGAGTTCCCATGTATTATTATCATAGTACAGTTCTTCAAACACAGTCATATGTCCGTCATTGTGGGCATGGACAATAGGAGAGAGTCCAGCATCCTATTGCCAAGATATAGTGACTAGTTTCAGTGGGAGTCCATCTTTGTCTGGAAGTAGAGATGCATACTGCATTGTATCCTCACATCTGGATATGATAGTCTCCATTACACGATTACTCTACATCCCCTTAAATGAAAGCCACAACACAAAATCAATAACAAAAAGAAAAATAAAAATTTACAATGCCCCTGAATGACTAATGCTACTGAATGACTAACATGCTACTGAATGACTAAGTGTGTCATTGAAGAAATGAAAAAGAAAATAAAGAACCTTCTTGAAGAAAATGATGCTACTGTATGATCTATGAATCAGTGAAGAACTTAATGAGAAGAAAGTGTTTTGAAGAGATCAACTATAAAAATATTCAAGATTCATGTGATATAGTTTCTGCTGATCTTTGTTGGTGAGATATGTCTCCTGTAGGCAACAAATAGTTGGGATTTTTAAAAAATCCTATCTAATAATCTATAATGTTTGATTGATGTGATGGGTTGCTAATTGATATCGTATTCTGTTGTTATTTTACTGGGATTTTCTTCCCATTTGCCTTTGGTATTGGTGTGTGCTATTCCTTTTCTCTGTCAAGAGAACATCGTTGAATATAATTTGTAGGGACCGTTTGGAATAGGCATATTCTTTAGTATATGTGCTGCCGAAGTGAGCATGGAATAGATATATGTTTTTTACTTTTCTTTACTGTGAAAGAATTTTATTTTATTTTCAAAGACAAAGGAAATCTTTGCTGGGTAGGTTATCCTGGGCCAGCAATATCCTGGGCCTGGAATATGTTGCTTCATTCTCTTCTGGCCTATAGGGTTTCCTGTGAAAGATCGCTTACAAATTCAATTGGTATTCTTTTATGTGTCAATAATTTTTTCCACATGCACATTTAAGGATATTTTCCTTATGTTCACTTGAAGAGAGCTTGATTATCATGTGTCATGGTGAAGATAGCTTTTGGTCAAGCCTGTTTTAGGGTTCTGTGCCCCTCCTGGATCTTGTTTCCCAATTCTTTCTCTAGGTTAGGGAAATTTCCCTTACTATTTCATTGAATACACCTTTAACTTCAGCTTCTCTTTCTGCACCTTCTGGGACTCACATAACTCTTATATTTTACCTTTTAATAGTGTCTGTGTCTTTCAGTTCTTAAGTACTTTTTCTAGCTTGACCTAGTCCTGCTTCCAGCTTTTTGTTTGTTTCCTCCTCGTGACAGGAAATATCTTCCAATGCTGAGATTCTTTCCTCTGCTCCATTGATTCTATTTTGGAGATGCGACACTGTACTTTTAATTGGCACCACTGTGTTCTTCAATTCTGATGTATCAGCTCTCATTTGATTCGTTTCCTGTGAGACATATTCCTTAAATTCCTTAAACTCCTGAATTACAAGCTTTTCATTGTTGATAAGAAGCTTTGTTGATACCAAGCATTTTGAATTCTGTGTCCCAAATTTTCTTGATGTATTCCTCAGTTAACTCTGAGGTTGGCAAAGGCTTTTGCTCCTTTGCAGAGGAGTCTTCAGTAATATTCACTGTACATTTGTCTCTTCTTTTGCTCTTGGTCGTGATACATCTGGTTAACAGAGTCTTCTCCTTGGAGCAGGTTTCTAATCTGTGTCACCTATAGATCTACAGTTTGATTTTACTAATTGCAGCTGGTATACAGCTCTTTGTTTGCAGTCACATGTGCCATTCCCTCCAGCAAGTTCTAGGTTTGGGTTCTTATGTTAGATTCCCACCATTGTCTCCTTAGCCCCAGCTCTTGGCTCACCAGTTTCCACCGCCTGTGTTACCATGCTGAGGCTAAATCGTTGTCTGTACAAGCTTTCTCCCACTTCCACTTGTTGTGGGTCCCAGGTTTAGGGAGACACCAGGTGTCATATATATATCTAGGTTGTTGGTGATGCTGATCTTGCCAGAACCTAATGACTGCTAGGTCTGAGAACCACACAGACCTATTTTAATTTGTGCATTGCCAATATTATTTTCCTGTGGGCTAGTGCAATGCATTGAGTTCATTGTGTTCTTGCTGAGCTCAGCTCATGCACAGCAGCTCACTGTTGTCCCTTTGAGCCCTGTGTTTTTCTACACTGTACAAAATAGCACCTGATGTGCCACTACTAGAGTTCTTGATCTACTGGCTGTCAGGTCTGAGAGCTACCAGGACCTATCTTGGATGGAACCTGCAGGATGTCACATTGTTACAGTTCACTGAGCCAGAAATGAGTTCACTCCCAGCTCAGTGCATGCACAGTCCTGTCCCATAGCCTTTGTCTCCTACACAAAATGGTACCCAATTCAGCAATAAAGGGTAGACTGGGCTGTGAAATCTACCCAGTTCCCATACCACCAATCTGGGACCTGCTGCTCTGTCTCTGCCCCTGAACAAATCAAACAGACCAGCAGGATGGGCAGTTCTTTGTCTGGGTCCACATCCTGAGCTCCTGGTAAATGCCTTTTCGTAATTTGTTGCTGGTGGAGTTCTGTTGCTGATGCAGTTCAGATCACTACTCGCTGGATGCTGCTGGGGTATCAGTCACCGCAATACCACACCATTGTGTCCACTGCTTTCCTGTGTCTGTCAGTATTCGGGTGCCCCTCTGCTCTTGTTCTATCCTTTCCTGTTTCCTGGAATGTGCTCTCTCTGCTTTACACTAGCTGATGTTTCTCCATCTGTTCTAATGTGTCCTTACCCTATTCTGCTATCTTGATTCTTCCTCCCTTTATTTATCGCCTTATTTTAATATCAGGCACTTTTGCTTTTGTTTGCTAAGCCAAAGGGCAAAGAAGAGAAACCATTGCCCACACCTCGAGAGTCAACAACACACTTGGAGACAGTGAGACAAAGTGTGGGCTGAATTCAGGTTCTTCTAAATGTCACGGAAGAAAGAGCTCAGCGAGGGATGAGTCAACGTCACGGTTGGGACTTTGTTTTCTTGGGCTAGTACAGCTGCTCTTTTCAAAAACTGAAGAAGAGCTTTGCAGAGATTAACAATGTTGTTCAATGGCAGCAGTTTCTTTCAGAAACTTATGGGGAACAAATTGAGTTCTGTTCACTTTCTTTTATTAGGCAAACGATTGACATTTTATTATGAAAATGAAGTCTGCAAACAAGATTTCTTCATTAAATCACCACCTCCTCAGCTTTTCTTCTCCATGGTAAAGTTTCACCATGATTTAGCAAGCCTCCCACCAGCCTCATGCGCACTTTGAAAATCCTGTGTCATACACTCACATTTAACTGAGATGCAAAACATTTCACTTTTCAGCCCTCTTGGAAAAGACGGCTATTCATCCTGTCAAAGAGTGGGGAAAGAGGCTTTCGTCTCACCTATTACAAAGACCATCATCCTCGTGGTTCCATTGAAATTGATGAGTGAGTATCCAAGAAAATTTGTGTAACAACAAAAGGCCAGTGCTGGGAAGTCACATGCAAATTGAAATTCAAATCACGGATGTAAAGACCCAATGGTTTCAAATTTATGATACCTGGAACTGAACAGGTGGTAAATGGTGAGTGAGCCCTTTGACTAAAAAATAGCTCCTTAGTACATAGTATATGGTGCGGTCCATAATCCTTTAATCAACCAACATTCAGTTAAGAACTCAGAGTCATTTAATCTTTGAGCATGAAAGATCAGATACAATCACCATGTTAATAAGTCAAGATAGGTTTTTTTAAAACATTTAGTTCATTTTTTTGTCTTTAAGAAATTATGTACCCTTCAACAATGGAAAGGATAATGATTTGGGGAAACAAGACTCTAACTGAAATGGGAACTTTGGAATTCAATATCAGGCTGAGTAAAGCATTTTTCAGTTGGTGATGAACCAGCCCCAAATCCAAACTTATCTTCCAGAATTATTGGAACATGTTCAAAGCACAAGTTGAGCATGCTTAAAGCCTGATTCCGTTTGAATCCCAATTGACAACACTGGTCGCCTCTCATCTTGAGTTTGGGCTTATGTTGTTATTTCAACGCTTCGTATCTGCATCTAACAGAAACTCCATTGTTGAAGTTGGCATGAGCAGCCAGGAAAAGCTGCAATCCGTGCAGAAAATGTTTAAGTGCCACCCCGAGGAAATAATGTCCATCAGGACCACAAATAGGGAGTATTTCCTCATCGGCAATGACAGGTGAGTAGCGAGAGAACACAGACCGTCTCCCACATGCAAGACAAAAACAAACCCCAGGGTGAAATATGATAAACCAGGGAGCAATAAACACACTCAGCAGAAATCCAGGGCTGCAATCTATTATGCCTTCATTATTTGGTACAATGCCCTGAAAAGTCTCCATACTGGCTTCTTCGGACTGGGTGGTTTAAAACAACACAGATTGTGTTGTTGTTCTCAAGCCTAGAAGTTGGTGAAGCCATGATCCCTCTGCAAGTACTAGAGAAAGATCTTCTCCAGGCTGCTCTCCTAGCTTCTGGTAGCTTCTTGGTTTGAAGCAGTCCAGGTCCAGTCTACACAAGATATTCTCCCTATGTCCTCTCTCCACGTCCAAACATCCCCCCTTTTACAAGGACATCGACCTTGCTGGGCCAGGAGCACTCTTGACTCCACAGTGACCCCACTTTAAGGAGTTCCATCTACAAGAACTCTATTTCCAAATACGGTCACATTCTGAGGTCCTGGGAGCTGGGACTAGAACAAATGAATTTGGGGAGGGACACAATCCAACCTACAATAGTCGCTATCACCCCAGATGGATTCCACACAAAAGAACTCAATCCACAATGTCTGTACATTATACAACGTCTGCGACACAGATTCAGAAGGGTTTCATTCACCCTGAAAGACTCTGGTTTTTAAGAGGGACTTCCGGAGCCAGCAATGATACCTTATGGATGGATTTGCTTTTGAGAGCCCGGATGGGGCAGAGAGAAGGCCATGTAGCCGAGGCTACAAATACCAAAGGCTAAGTATGGAGAACTTGGTTCTCCAGAAAAATTTCCTTTTAACTTGCCATGTGAGGCAGCAGAAAAGAAGCTATGATGTATGCAAATATATTCAAGCACATTTTTTGTCAACACATGCACGCACCAAGGGGAGTTAAGGCACACCTGGGATGCTTGCACAAAAATGGCATTAACAGGTTAGGGGGCTCACTTGAGAACCCCACAGCAATCAGTGTCAAAGTCAAGAGCCCCAACCCTGTGATTAAGACTCTGCCTTTCTGCTTTTCTTCCTGTTCCTCTGAGCTTTCCTCACAGAAGTGGCATGGGGGCTAATTCTAGTGTACAAACGTGGAGGTGGCAAGGAGTCAGGGGGCCACTGAAGTTCCTTAGGTAAAAATCCTAATTGCCCTAGTACCTGCTCCCACTGCTGTTCTAACCTTAATGAAAGAGTCCGTCTCAGGACCCCTAGGCGTGTAGATGCTATTGCTGCTGCATGCCAGCTCCAAGTTTCCTCCTACCAACAGGGAGAAGATTAAAGACTGGGTCTCCTTCATGTCATCGCTTTGCCAGGGGGTAACAGTCACATATCAGTGCACAGAGGCGATGAACAGCAATGAAACTACAGGGAGGCTGAACACAACCCTCTCTCAACAAGAAATAATGGTAACTCTTGCCCACCCTCAGCCCCTACCCCTTAGCAACTAGCTTTAATACAAGGAATAAGTAAGTGAGAAAAGTATGTCCTTGCTATTTTTTTTTAAGGAATAACAATAGAAAAACACTTTATGCCTCATGAAATAGCTAAAATACAGTCACTACAGCTTTTCATTATTGTGGTAGGGGGAATGAAGTTAACAGTAGCATTTTTTAACCGTAGCTACAATTATGGTACTTTTCATCATTGTTATTCAAGGTGCATAATAAGCTTCCGTTTGAATGACTAAGTCTAGGGAAGTTTATATACAGTTTTTTTTTTCTCATGTATCTTGCATTTTAAATATGTCTCTTTCACAACAACGCTACTAGCTTTCTAATTGATTATCATCTAATTGATATTTCAACAAAGACCCTTTGTTAATTCACCCAAGGCCTCTCCTATGGGGGACCTTTATAAATAGAACTTGGGTTGGAGGAATCTTTCTGACATGTTTTCCAGGTTGTTCTATGCTTACAACAAAAGCAAAATCCAAGGAGATGAGGCATGTCCACAAGTAGATGCAAATAAGAGCAGAGGGATGGGATGCGAGGATTGAGAAAGGTTGAAGGTCAGGCCAAGTTTCCTCAGGGGTTTAGGAAGAGGAGAGAGAGCCTTGAGCAGCCCTTGCCTTGGTGGGACGACACTGGCCTGCCGGTAGCATGAATGTCAGCATTGTGGGGAGGGGGTGGGGGAAGAAATGAGGGGCAGCTCAGAGGAAAGGTAGTTGCTTCATTCCAGACATGAGAGCAGTCATGCCTGGTGACACCACTCCTTTTTCCTAACCAGGAGAAACACTCCATGAGAGAGAAAAGGCCCATCTCTGATCCCAGCCTTTTGCTTGCTGCTTCTAACACGTTTGATGCCGTCAGCACCACCTCATCAAGAAGCAGCCTTCCGTGCATGGTAATCAGTGTCCCTTCTCCTGTTCTCAGAACACCAGCCCAGGGAGTAGCTGAGCTTGGCCTTGCCTGTCCTCCCCAAAGTCTGCTGTACCAAAAGAGTAACACCAGCCCTAATAGGCACCCTCCATTTAGTTTGTCTCCCAAACCACAAATGTGCCTTTCTGCTTGCCCTGACTACCTTTAAATGTTTTAAATGGATGTTCTGGGTGTATGCCTGTGTATGCAAGGCTAAGATCCACAGGCCACAGAATCTTTGCAAAAGGATTCCCCAAATGCTATTTGAGTTCATACCACACTGTCTGCCACTCTCAGGCAAAGGCAAAATTTCTTTGTCGTTTCCTTCATTTACCCTGATTAGTCTTGCTTCTTATTACCTCTTCAATATAGGAATCTTCCATGAGGTCATGGAAAATGTGTATTATGAAAAAGAAAACCTCTGCATAGACTTCAAAAATATCTTTTTCACCAAAATAGGCATCTTAATTGTTTTTTCCAAGAGCTTTCACCTTGTGTATTCTCATCTTCCTTTGTCATAAAATTTATCTGAGGGTGTAGAAGACAGTTACTTCTTGTAAGTGAGTTACATTTGTACACTTGATTTTCTTTCTTGCATCTATATATTACCATATTTGGATATTAGTAACCAACAGGCGGAGTGGTTTTGTCCTCCTGCACGGCTTGGTCAATGACTGCCCCTCTCTGTGGGTACCAAGCCCAGATAATGAAGCTTGGCCTCCTATTTTATCCAGTTGGTAGTTCTCCAATGATTTTTAAAATTTTTTGTAACATATTAGATTCACAGGGCCAAACACCTCATTCCCATTATTCATTTAGTGAATGGAAACAGAGGTAGGAAGCAGGAGTAGGAAGCCTATTCCTGATCAGTAGATGCCTGTCGTAAATGCACTGGCCATTTTTTTCTCTTTTCACACAGTGTATCCAGATCTAGTACTGTTTCAACCAGTCTGAGTTAGGAACCCCATTTGCCTTGATGAGTGTTGCTGTCCTGGCTGTCTAAATGAAGTGGGTATACATCTTAACCCCAAGGCAGGGTGATCTGGTTCTCCATTTTTTGTAGCATTGTCATAGAATATCCTACAGTGAGTCATTTATGAGGATGAGAAATGTGTCTCTCAAAGTCTGTAGGCAGGGATTCCAGGGTAGAGAGGGTACATTGGGTGCCGCCTAACAGAAGGGCAGGCAGGACAGAGGAAGCCAAGTGAACGCACCTCTTTTTTCAGGAACCCTTCACTGAATGACTAACCCACGTTGGTATTAATAACATATATCGGTCTCAAAATCAGAGCCCTCGGGACCTCCTCGCCTCCCAATTCTGCTACAATGGCAGTGAAATTTCAGTGTGGGTTTTGGAAGGGACATTGAAAACAGCAATGAAGTTACAACTAGAAATGTAGTCACCATGTAAGCACAAACACTCCTCAACCTACAAAGCGGTTGTATCTCCATAATTCTATCTGTAAGTCAAACATATTTTGTTGAAAATGCATTGAATCCATGTTCTAGTTTAGTACCACAGTGCACTGTAGAGTCCCAGCTGTTTACTCCTGTGAAGGTGAGAACTGCCTCTTGCAGCCAGAGCTTAGCCTAAGAGGCTAGATAGTAGTTAAGAAGCTAGGTAGTACTTAAGAGGCTAGGTACTCCCTAAGGCTAAACTGGGGGAAAAAAATCGAAGTTCAGAACTTGAAGGATTTTTCGGGCAGTCACTTTCACACCATCATAAAAAAATAATAAAAATCAGCTGAAGTCTCCTAAATCACAGATGACCTATACACCTGTATTTTTAATCACCTCTTTTAAAGTCTCACTAGGGAACATTCAGACCCTTTTGAAAAACTCCACTCTCTGAGGCATTGTTTCTGAAAGAATTGTTACAGCGATTTTCCTGCCATTCAAGGCATGCACTTTAGTGGTCCTGTGTGCCTGTCAGGGGAAGGAAGGTAATAATTGCTTGAGCCTAAATAACTTTGAAGCCTTTAATTCATACTATCACACAATCTACCTAATTGCATTGCAATGGAAAAAATAGAAGCAAGTGAGTGAAAGACAGAAGAACATTGAGCAGGAACAGGAACGATGCCAGGCCTTGATTCTGAGCTAATTACCTTCTCAGGTGGCACTGGGTGGTAACTCCAGAAAGATTGGGGTCAGGGATGCCACAGCAGAACTTAGTGATGGTGGACTCTTACCCACAGAAGAAAGCCATGTGTTGTAAGTTCGAGCTCCTCTAAATGTTAAAGAAAATTGTCTGACTCAAGTTGAATGGGTTTCTGGATACAACTTGGGGAAAATCTTGTAAACTTTTCAACCCATCTAGTCTGTCATAGCTTTTCTAGGAAGTTTGTGGTTTAATTCTTTTGCAAAGAAAAAGACAACTATCAACTCCTTCTTCATCTCTTTGATTTAGCATCTAATGAAAAAAAGCTCTCCACAATCTGAGGAAGATCATCTACCACATTTCTACCCAGAAACCACAGAAGATACAGAAGAGAATTACTATCTTAGTCCTCGAAGTGTTCTTTCAGAGGTAAGCCATTCCACCCATTGGTCATTTTTCCCTTCCACAGATATTTACTGAGCCCTGCCATTCACAACTCCTGAGACACCACGCCAGGATCAGTGAGGTCACAGGAGTGATGTCACACATAGGTGATGTGCTTATGATGCCGGTTCTCGTGTAAGAACAACCAGAGTGCAGGAAAGAAAGCGCTCCTTGCTAAAAAGAAGATGCTTTTAAAATGACCAGAAATACACAAGAGGTAGAACAGTGGCTGGCTTCCATAAAGAAGGTGCAGGGAGAAATATGACATTTGCTCATCCTTGATAAGTAACATTTGGGTCTTAGGGACTGACTTTGGGAGTCAATAATATGCATTCTGGTAGAAAAAATATATAAGCAAAGGTGATAAATGATAAGCCTGGGTGATAAATGATGTCATGTTCATTGACTAGTCTAGTGCAGATCAATTGAAGTTTCTTATTGAGGCTCTTCTTAGCGTTAGGCATTGTGCTACGGCAGGCATGGTGTCTGCAGTAAGCCTGACAATCCCCTACTCTCTGAGCTCAGCCTTATGTGTTACCACACAATGATGTTACACAAGAGGCGTGGTCAAAAGTGTTCTGGAAGCAATAGAAAAGGAACAGGTTTTTTCCTCTCTCCACCGAAGCCATGGAAGACCTCCAAGATGAATTGGCCTTTTATATGTTCAGCTAGGCTGCAGCTTGTGTGGACGGCACAGTGCGGACTAAAACAAGGGTGCCAGACCACAGTAAGTCTTGCACACCAAGAAAACTTCCTTTTGTGTGCAGCACTGAGATAATAATCGCTCTGCTATGGGAAAACCTTGATTATCTTTTGGTCCTTATTAGCACAGCATCTATATCTGCAGTGGACTAGGAAGAAGAAACTGGAGTTGGGAGATAAGAAGACAAAACAGAAAGGGTCTTTCTATTGCATTCTGGATCAAATAGGATCTTGACACCAAGGCAAAATGAATGTGACATGCTTCTTAACAGCAGAATTCTCACAGTCGTTGGTATACAGTGGTATGTTATAAATAGCCAAGAGGGGTGCAACATTCAGCATTCCCTGGTCATTTGAGTACAGAATTCTTCTTTTGCCAAAGATTTTTTTTCAACCTAACATTCCCTGAAACAGTCTTTCATAATACAGGAGAACACTGAGCATCAGTTATCAGCCTGGTGTTTGCTGGGTACTTCATGGAGTGCAAAGTCCAGGAAGGTAGACACAACCAAGTTAAGGGACAAAAAAAAAGTACAAAACTGTGCAATGGAAATTTGAAGAAATGGCAGATAGGTCATGGTTAAGGAAACCAGAGGAAGCCGAGACACTTCAGCCAAACCTGAACACAATGTCAGTTGGCAAAAGAGTAAAAAGACGTTCCAGTGAAGTGACAGCATGGACGCAGAGCAAGAAGGGCACCATTGTGTAAGGTGGGCAGTGGGAAGGTGGATGTGACTGCAAATATGTTCCAGTTCTGTGTCAATGATGAACTTGGCAGGTAGGCTGTAAGGAGTGTAAGAAATCATTTTTGCAAATGACTCTCTTCTAAAGAGTTAGCTGAGTGCCTCCCAAGGGTAATCTTGTTTGGGGCTCTCACAGTCTCTGTGAGCATAGTACTCAGAGACCAGCTCCACATGTGACTAGGTCTCTGACATAGCCAGTTTCTGTCACTAAGTGCCTAGTTGCAACAGGGAAAATAACAATTCAGTCTATGAAAAACTTTTATTAGGGATGTGGGAGGCCCAGGAGCGGGAAGTGGATTCTGGGTCTGCCAGCTGCAGTGTGGGTATGATTGGTTGGTACCTCCCATATGAGAACCATTGTTCATCCAGTGGTGGATGTCTTCACACTTCGAGAATCATGAGCCACAGTGTGGGGCTGACTGGCATGTCTGTTTCTCTTGTTCAGCTGGAAAATATTGATTCTGGTGATTCAAAAGACTTGATCAAACATGACAATACAAAACAGAACATGAGCTCTGAGGATTGCTATATGTCTATGAAGCCATGGTAAGTCAAGTTGTAATTTTACAAGTTGATTTAATTTATCTAGTATATGGAATAATTACCACCAACTCATTTTAGTAGCTTATATGTTGATACAAAGCATTACCATAGATCCAGCCCAATCTATTACTCAATACAAGTGGAATATCATTTATCTGACATATCCGGGACCAGAAATATTTCAGGTTTTAAACTTTTTTCATTTAGGAATATTTTCACACACATACTAAGATATCTTGGGGAGAGGACGCAAGTCTAAAGACAAAATTCATTTATGGTTTAAATTCACCTTTTCCACATAGGCCAAAGGTAACTTTATACAACTTTGTAGTGCTTCTTGCATTTGAACGCAACTCTGTTCACATGAAGACAGATGTAGAATTTCCCACTTGTAGTGAAGTACTGATGCTTAAAAACTTTGGGGTTTTGGAAGATTTTTACCTTTTTGGATCAACTGTACACTCAAAACAAGAAAACGTGGGAATAGTTTCTCTACCCGTAGGAAACCACTTGCGATAGCCACAGGACACTCTCCACCCGGCAAAGTTGTTTGCTCTTTTGCAGTAATGTCACTCACACTTTCACTCTGCCTTCCAAACCCCATAAAGGGTTATTTTGATTCGGTATCCATATTTAGAAGAAGAGTTTATTGGATTTGATTCTGACTGTGGCTGTGGTTTTGGTTGTTGGATGCACTGTAAGCCCTTGTTAATTTTCACATGGCCGGAAGCTGTTTAAATCTGACACACACACACACACACATACAACAGAACTTTGTAAATAGATATGCTAAAAACAGGGTTTGTTTTTAACTTCTTATACTCCAGTTTTTTCAAGGAAATACCACATGAGCCTGCTGAGAACCAACAGGAGCTCCAGCTCCTTCCAGAGACACAGGATAGAGGACTACACCTGCAGGAACAAGGCTTGGGAAGTGATTCGTGTCTCACACCTTCCAATACAGAAGCACAGACCACAAATGATAGAAAGGGGATGACCTCACTAACCGTTGTGCAATTGTCTATCTTAATCAAGTAAAGCTCTTCTTATTTATAAAACTTTATGGGCCCTAAGAGTAAAGCTGCCTTCCTTCTCTTTGTTTTTAACTTAGAATTAAAAGTTTAAAACAGTTCCTAAAAACCTCCAAGTTAGCCAAAAATCTGACCAGCTTCTCCCTCTCATAGATTTTTGTGGACAAGGACAATGAATAACAAAATTAGAAGCTAATTATTCCCCTGTGATAAGGTGGCATATAAAGATTTATTTTATTTATTTTTATTGGAAAGTAAGATTTACAGAGAGGAGAGACAGAGAGAAAGATCCTCCATCCACTGACTCACTCCCCAAGTTGCCGTAACGGACAGAACTGAGCCCATCCAAAGCCAGGAGCCAGGAGCCTGCTCTGGGGCTCCCATGAGGATACAGGGTCCCAAGACTTTGGGTCATCCTCCAATGCCCTGCCAGGCCACAAACAAGGAATATAAGGGAAGTGGAACAGCCGGGACACAAACTGGTGCCCACATGGGATCCTGGTGCATACGAGGCGAGGACTTTAGCTGCTAGGCTGCCACACTGGGCCTTGGGGTGGCATTTAAAAAAAAAATCTACATTGGTTAGTAATTCAGGTCTTCCTATTTGGGTCTCACAGTTATCTGAGTGACCTGCCACTTAACATTAGCATAATTATGGGTATGTAAGTCACAGGGTGTCTGGGATGTAGACTAGTAAGGGAACACTTAGGTTTTAAGTCATATCAAGGGTTTCTGATAAGACTGTTGCAATTTTAACTTTTTTCCATTCCTTCTTACTTAAAGTCGCTGCTGTCAGAAAATACGCAAACTGACCAGATTGATGCATTTTTGTCTCCTTTCCCAGTGCCCACCATTAATGATCACTTGTCAGTGACTTTCTTAAGTTCATGTTTTTCTACAAAAGTATTTCAGACAACATTGAACCGGAAGCTATCATTTCAGAAATCAGGAGGCCAAAAGTATATTCAGGAAGCAGAGGTTGGAGCTGGGAGTCACTGCCCAATGTGACTTTTACTAATGTTTTCTCTCACAGCAACATCTCTGATGAACGCCAAGTGGAGACACTGAACTTGTTCCTTCCTCCTCCTGATCTCATAAACTACCTTGCTCTCGTCCAAGCCGCAGGACGGATATGGTAGGTCAGGTTGTTGACTGTGGCTATTGCTTTTAAGTGATCTGACAGATCAGTTACATCTTGAAACTCTGTATTTGACAAGACTTAACCATGGAACTTGGGCTATGTATTTTGCTGTCACAAAAAGATCTTTGAAGTGGGGGAGGAGTGGTAAGAAATACATACGGTTCAAGGATGTCACTCCTGGCTACGGCGCAAGGATGGAAATGGCAAGAACCAAAGAGCAAACACCAAAAGGCTCACCGGTGACACAGCAGCAGAGGTCAACGGCACATCCGCCCACCAGGACACAGATGCAAGCGGTTGTGTGACACAGAATTTAGTTATCACTTAAAGAAATCAAAGCTTTAAAAACTCCCCATGATCTCAGTCTCAATAAATGCTTGACCAAGGCTGTGGATTTCTTCATGACAGAGCTTGCTCTTTCACTAGCTAATTCTGTATCCACTGTGTAATCATTATATGTAAATATTCACGGAACTCCATATGTAAATATATTCACATATAATCGACATAATTTGCATATGATATATGAATATATGTGAGTGTGTAATATATTTGCATATATACATATATATAATGGGGTATGCCCACAATACTATAGCAACCCAGGGTCGGGGGAATTAATTCTAACAAAAGCATTGTAATGTGACTTTGTGGAGACAGTGTGGTTGGAGTTGGAGTTTGGAAGGAGGGGTACGCTTCAACAGTGGTGTGAGAAGCATAGTGACCCCAGGTTGACAATGGACATAGTTTACTAGCCAGGCAGTAGGCCCCGCCCACGTCCTGCTGTCCCAGAGAACTTGTGTCACACAGGTGTCGGATGCTCTATTCCCACTGCAGTGTGGCTCGCTGGGAAGGCCCCCCACACCTGGGATGTTTATTCTGCCACGGAGATCACGTTTTGGCTGTGAATGATCTGAAGCCCCAGAACCTGGAGGAGGTCTCCTTGTTTCTCACTCGGTCCATCCAGAAAGAGGTGAGTCTCACTGATGGGCTCTGGGCAAGTCGGTCAGAAGGTCTTAGGGTCTGAAAGGGACGCAGAATACAAGTGAGGCATGCCCTTTTCCTGTTACCAAATGTAAATGCAGCATGTTCTTTTATGACTCTTTCAAAACTCTTTCATATAAAGTAGATTTAGAGCAAGCACTGGGCGAGGAGTGGGAGCACCAAACGTGGCAAAAAGAGCTTTCACAGACTCAGACAGAGGCAAGGTTTGCAGATCAGCCCCGTTAGCCAACTTGTGCTTCAGTGTTCTCGTATGTGACATTAGAGATAACAGCAACAATGGTTGGAGAATTAGATGAGATAATATGTGTAATGTGCTTACAATAAAGACTGGCATATATTAGGTGTTGGTACCGTTACTCTTCTTGTTACTTCTACTTTCTGTGAAGTTGATTTATTTGAAAGATGGGGTGGGGGTGGAGAGAGAGAAAGGCAAAGGCTAGGACTCAGCCAGCACCAAACCAGCAGGCAGGAACTCCATCCTGGGTGACAAAGAATCAAATACTCGAACCATCATCTGCTGCCTCCCAGGATGCATGTTAGCGGGAAGTTGGATCAGAAGGGGAAGCAGGACTCAATTCTGGGCATCGGTATGGGATATGGGTGTCCTAAGCAGTGGTCTAACCTACTGCACCACTGCATCCACTTTCATTTTTTATTTCAGCTTCTATTGGCCAGGGAGTGTTAGACAGGTTCAACTTTTTAAGTCTTAGTTTCCTTACCTAAGAAATTCACACAGCCAGACCTCCCTCCTAGAGTTACTAGCCATAGTGTGTGGGTATGCCCTGAGTGCATATGTTTTTAAAAGACCTGTTGTGATCCTAACTAGTAAGATAGTTCCCATCTTCTTCCTTTCTTCATCTATTTTTATTTCTCATGAGTCCTACCTTCATGGGAAAATCACTGGCTTTTCCTAAGTACCAGTTTCTTTTCTCTAAAGTAAGAGGGCTGTTTTTCAAACTGCATTTCTTGGAACCCTGGCATGGGAGTTAGAGAGAGGACAAGAAGAGGACAGTATTCCAGGACTTGAACTTGAGAAGTCCACATTTATTATTTATAGTTTATTGGAAGACTGAGCCCTGAGGGTGATGCAGTGGCTCAACAAGCTAATCTTTTGCCTGCAGCATCGGCATTCCATATGGGCACCAGTCCTAGTCTTGACTGCTCCACTTCAGATCCAGCTCCCTGCTTGTGGACTGGGAAAGTAGCAGAAGATAGAACAAGTCTTCGAGCCTCTGCACCCCCATGGGAGACTGGGAAGAAGCTCCTGGTTCCTTGCTTCTGATTGGCTCGACTCTGACCATTGAGCTATTTTGAGAGTGAACCAGCGGATGGAAAATTTATCTGTCTCTCCTCTTTATAAATCTGTCTTTCAAATAAAAATAATAAATCTTCTTAAAATAGAGAGCATTTAAGCCCCAAATACTGTTCTATCCTGCTAGCTTTTCTTGAAGAAACAGCTTCTTACTTAAGCTTTCTATAAACCATTAAACTAAACAAATTCCTAGATTTCTTCTAGTTCCGAGAGTTTATGCATAATGTCAAGTGTATGTTGAGGCTATATCTTATCTCCTCTCCATCACATAATATCCCTGAGGGTTGGACAAACTACTCGTTTATCTAAATGGGTAAGCCAGTAAGGATGAAGGGGTTATCAGAGATGCATAACTAACAAGTGGCAGACCAAGCTCACAGTTATTCATTTAATCATTCACTCACCAACTAGGGAACATCTACTCTGTTGTACTCTGCTGGATGCTGGGCTAGGTTTTAGAGCTGCAAAAGTGGCCCCAATGTCTGCTCAAGGGGCCTCTAGGTTGATGGAGAAAACAAGCATGTGGTATACTACTTACAATACCCTGGGTTCCCCAAGATGTGACTGGAGAGCCACTCGCACACAGAAGAATGGAGCAGCTTTATTCGCAGGAGGTGCAGAAGATGCCTCAGACAGGTGGAAACTTGGCTTGAGTTTTGAAGGCTGGAGAGTTCATGTGGGAAAAGAAGTAACTTTTAAGGGACTCAGTCCAACCACCTGGAAGCTATAATACATTTCCTCAGCCAGATAGCCACATGAGGCGACATTGTCACTGTCATCATCTGTGCCCTTCTGGAAGTTGGCAAGTAATACTGACAGCCAGAGATGCAGCCACTAGTTCAGAAGCCAGGAAGATCCAGGAATCCTACCTTGAGCATCCTGACTTTGTCATAGCTACCACTCCAGACTGTGCATTCACAGGCAGGGGAAGCAGGTGCTAGCCCTTCTTAGGTGTTCACTCCATGTGCTCCCTTTTTCTATGCTAAAATAGTCCTGGACATTAGGGAGACTCGTGGTGCAGGATTCACCTACTTGATCATAAAGAAGTGGCCTTCTGTCTCCTCCACCATCCTGACTGCTTCTTGGTGATAAAATGGATACCTAATCCTCTTCTACTATCCAGGCACCTGGTCTCAGGTAGGAAAGAAAAGGTGGTGAGAGAAGACAGGAGGAATGTCCAATGGCCCCTAGAGCTTCAGGGCACCTAAGCCAGTCAGATTTACTTTCTCTCCTTTAGGCTGTGAGAAATGGGGACCTGGCATGTGGTGGAGAGACAGTGCAGGGAGTGGGTAAGAGACATTAAACATGGGGGATGAGTGTAGGTGGGAAGGGAGAGGATGTATCAGATGGCAGGAAAAACTTCTCAAACTTCTGTTTCCTCCTTGTATCTGGGGCAGGTGCTGATGCTCATTTTGCTGGTTTTAAGTGGTCCTTTTAATTATGGTGCATGTGGGCCCCTCGGAGTACCACCCGTGCTCCCTGGAACCTCTTCAAACACTCATGCAAATGGATGCTAGAAAAGAAATATCCGTCTTCCACCTGAATATGCAAATCACCCCAGGGCCTCTTTGGACCCAGATATTGGAGTCCAATAAGGCAGTTTCTCCCAAAACAGCTTCCAAAGCTGTCTGTGAGGACAGATCAAGACTCAGCTGTCCTGAGGACAAGCACGTACCATTTTAATTTTCTTGTTTGTTGTGTTTTAGAAGGTAAAACTCACCATCGGTCGGATCCCAAATTCAGAAAAATTCCATGGTCCAGCCTGCACGTGTTCTCTTAAGCACCAAGAAGTTGCAGCTCTTCGACAGAACAAGTCGGCCCTGGAAAAGACCCTACAGAGGTGTGCAGCCATTAAAAAGGGCCACCAGAAAGGAGCGAAAGATTAGCCTGTCAAGGAACCACCGGAGCAGAATGAGGATGGAGCCCAGCCCCTGTGCCCGACTATGCCACTTGCTGCCCTGGGCCATGACACAAGCCAGGACATCCCCCTGCATTCCCATGTCTGCCTCTCCAGCATGGCTATGGCCATCACCTCTCTGGCCACTGTCTCCAGAATGTAGGGTCTGTCAAGTGGGATCGTGACTTGGGAACACAGTGGAAACAGAGAGCTTTGTAATCTGAGACACCGTTCTAATCACCGCACACAGAGATTGCATAAGCCTTCCATCTACTTAATCCATGCTGTGTGCTCCGTGCAATCATGGCCCATGCAGTCCTTTCTTTGTCGGGGCCTGTACACTTGGAAATCCTCATTCCAGGGAAGCCAGATTCCCAAGAGGGATGTGATATCATGTCGGCCTGCTCAAGCACCTCCTGTGACTTGTCATCCTGAGGTCCGGGATGCTGACATCAAGTGGCCTCTTGGAGTCAGGAAGGATCTGGTTTACTTAAAGACCTAATCGCTGTTTGAGAAGTTGAAGCAGTTTTAGGTCATAACCTGCAAAGATCTATTTGAGCTCCAAATTATAGAACCACTTAGCACTTCTAAGTTTTTTAAGTTCTTGACTCATTGATGCGTTAGAATGGATTCCTGAAAGCCGAAAGAATCAAATGATTCCAATGGAGGAGAGCAAAATCAGAAAGCTAAAGCACTCATCCAAATGGGGAATGGTAGAGTCCAAGACAGCCTGGACAGCATGAATTACCATCCATGTCGTCACATCATGCAGAAGAATTCAAGTTCCTGAATGATGAGCTATGTGCCTTCTTGGTGGCTCCAAGCTCTTGAGGTTTGGAGTGGCACAACCAATCACCCAAAAGCCAGCTCTGAGAGACAAATGTCCTGAATGCCACCTGGTATTTAGATTCGGAGTTAAAAAGCCCTTCAGCTCTTAAAAGGGTCACTCAAATGCAGACCACGGTCTGTTATCCAGAATATTCAGAAACTGTACAGTAAATGCCCTACTGGGATCCACTACTCCTGCTTCTAGAAATGTGTCTTATATAGAAACGCTCATCCCAAGAGGCACTTATCTGCAGCACTGTGGCATTGTTTGTGATACTGTCACTTGATTGCTCAATTATGATTTCATGTAATCAAAACTGCAGATGTTAAAACATTTGACATGTACAATTGTGAAAATGTGTTAAGAATGAAAAAGGGAAACTGTAATGTAGTAGTTTATAATTACCCCATTTTTGGGAAAAAAAAAAGCAAGTCTTTGGTGTTTGCTTCAGAAAATTGCTGGAAATGGAATTGAAAGATAAATTTACTTGGGAGCCAAAAAAAAAAAAATTGAAATCTATGAACATATAAAATTTTCAAAAAGTTCATGAAAAATGTATGTTATGGAAAACTTCAGTTCATATTCATTTTTGTGCCCAAATAAACTTATTTTTAATTCCATTCTTTTTTTCTACAAAAACTTCTCCGATGCAGGCAACAACAGGGCTTGCCTGGGCTAGAGTCAGGAACCAGGAACATAATCTAGTCTTGTGGCAGGTGGGAGTAGCCACCATCAGTGCTTCCCAAGGTTGACACTAGCAGGAACCACACCCAGGAATCGCACCTAGGCACTACAGTTGGGGGATGCAGGTGTCTTCACCACCAGACTTAATATCTACCTCCCTTGCCATGAACTTTTTGAAGTGCCCTCGAATATAAATGTGTACACAGAATTTTCCCACCCCTAAGGAGGGGAACAGGGAGTTCTCTTACGGGGTGGTTGTGAAGTTTGAATACTTTGCCCTCCAGGTAGCAACAGCCAGGATTGGTCGCGTTGCTGCTGCTTTCACATCTTTCTCTTTACAGATGTAGCATGAGGCACTGTCGATGTGGCATTGAGAGCTGTACTGAGGGCTGGCCATAGATGAAGTATTTCTGTAATGTGAAAATTGCACTTTCTCGAAATGAGCATGTCACTTTAATAATGAAAAAATATATATATGCAACATAGAAAATGTGAGTTTGTGTGTGTATTTTTAAAACTTTCCTAAGCAAGAGTCCAAGCCACTTCAATGAAAAAAATAAGAAATTGTCCAGTAGGGGCAGCCATTTGGCCTCGTAGTTAAGAAGCCCACATCCCACACTGGAATGCCTGGGTTTGAGTCCTGGCTGGGGCTCCAGACTCCAGTTTCCTGCTTGCTAGTGCACACCCTGGGAGGCAACAGGTGATGGCTCAGGTAACTGGGTTCCTGCTATCCACACGGACATTGAATTCCTAGCTCCTGGCTTCCTCCTTGGCTGTTACAGGTACTTAGGGAATGAGGCAGTAGATGGTGGACACTCTCTCTCCCTCTGATTTTCTGTCAAGCAAATAAATAATCGAACAGATAATTACAATTCTTAAAGTGCCAAGGTAGAACCACCTGGGAGCCATGCTTTGCTTTGAAGCTGAAAAGTCTCTCCCCTGGCTTGTTCAGAAGAAAACACTACGAGACAAATAAAAGTTAACTAGAAGCAGACGACCCTCCACCACCAGGTCCTTCCAGAGCTTCTTGGAGCCAAGGAGCCTGAGGCTCAAGGGTCTGTTCATTGGCAGGGCCTACCGCTTCCCCACCCCTGCTCCTCCCTGCAGACCCAGAGAGGACGCCCAGCCTGCTTCTCTGCATCCTCTCCAAATCCTGAAGCTTTCTGCTTAGAGCAGTATCAGCCAGGGTACTTTTGAGAAGGACGTGGCTCTGGGAGTTTCACTTGTGGGAGGGGTTTGTTCTTAAGAGGAAATACTAAAACTAATTAAGAGGAGATACTAATGTCCTCCAGGCCCAAAGATTCTGATTGGTAGCTCCAGGTGCAGGGGCTCTAAAATCTTCACCCTCACTCAGCCACTCAAGATAACGACCCAGGAGCACACACTTTGGGTAAAACTGCCTGGGGATCTTCAAAAGAACCCTGGAGTCTTCTGCACAGTGGCCCATAGGACTCGGTAGTTCTGAAACAATATGAACATTACTCCTTCCCCACTCCCCAAAGAACTCTATTCTCTGGGAAGAAGCTTAGGTTTCACTCCCAGCCCACTGCTTCTGCTTAGAGAACAATTCAACCAAGCCCTGAAAGAAGCAACGCTGCCTGCACTGGGTGTGGGCTCAACAGCTGGGCAGCAGAGGTGGAGAGAGCACACTGCAGCTTAGTTCTTAGGCAGAGTCACCTCCTTGCCCAGGTCCTCGTCCTCCCTTTGGCTCCCATTTTCCAGGCCTGGAGTATTGCCCAACTTCAGTACACAATTTCTTTGTTTAATAATAAGACTAGTCCCAAAGAAAGATCTTAGCAGAAATGGCCACCAGTAACCAAATGAGCAAGGTCCTTCTCCCAGGCCCTAGAGGTTAGGCTTTTCCTGTTACCTGGCAGAGGCTATGAGATGCCATTGGGAGATGGAGGAAGTTCTGCAAGCTGGGATTGAAAAACTACTTAAGCTGGTGTACTGAGAGGGTGGGACAGCTCCTGAGGCTCCGCCCCACCATGACTCTGCCACACCCAGCCTTGGAGCAGGGTTCTGTGACCTTTCCCAGGCCAGTGCTGCCCTTAGTGTTCCTCTGATCACATGGAGGGCAGAGTCTACTGAGCGACCGGGCCCAGTTGCCCTGAGACACAAGGCTCTCCTCTGATCCCAACCCTGAAAGAAAGGAGATGATGAAAGTGGACAGTAGCTATTCTTGGCCATCATGGCCTTGGCCCAAATCCAGCTCAGCTCTTCAGTCTGGCTGGGGTGGAAATCAGAGTCCAGAAATAAGAAAACACTCTGTTGGGTGTCACCTCCACTTCGTACCAGTCCGCTAGCTCCCAGCCCAGCACCATTTCTGTACTTGCTGATATTTGTATTTCCACAAGATGTAAGGTATTTGCTGATATTTGTATTTCCACTTCCCCAGCCTGCTCACTCTCCCTAACACTTCCAGGGCTCAGAGAGCACCTATCTGCTTCCACATTGATCTTTCAACTGAGCATACGAGCTCTTCCGAGTGAAATCTAAAAGGGCTTAGGAAAGGAATGAACAGGGCTACATACATCCATTCTCACTCAAAGCCATTGACAACGCATGGAGATACCAAGAAGGTATTTGCCTGTCCATGGACAATGAATTACTGCTCATTTAAATATACGCTCCTGCATGTGTGAACACACACACTCTACAGTTAGGAATGCCTATATCTGTACTGGAGAGTGGAGAAGACACATGATGGTGGGATAGTGGGGTCACAAGAATTCTTTTGCAAGCTAAGACCAGAAATCTCCCACAAGTCCCCTACAAGTTCTTTAGAAGATGTGCCAAGTGACTTCCTCTTGGGATGGTAAGAATTTCAAGCATCATAAATAACCCCAAAGAAGGAGACTTTGGCAGTGGAGGATGGTCCAAGGCCTTGGGACCTTGCACCCACTATATAGCATTCAAGTTTACAAGCAACTAAAACAGACCTCTTGTGGCAAAGGTATTTGGGCTGCTCATCTGCATGGGAAATGAGATCTTAAGAATCCTTGATTTGAGACCCTCCCTAGCTCCCGGCTTCAGATCAGCTGAGCTCTAGTTGTGGGCACCTGGGAAGTGACCCAGTGGGTAGAAGATCTTTCTCTCTGTCTCTTCTTCTCTTTGTAAATTCGCCTTTCCAATCAAGATAAAAAAAATCTTAAAAAAAAAAAAAGGACAACGCTTTGGGATTCAGTTGATTCACTCAGAGTTTCTTCAATTGGACTTGCAGATACGCAAGAAATTTGCTATATTGAAAAGGCTCCTTAAGGTGTCTGAGTCAATAAAACCTGTGTCTAATGATTAAAGATCCATTAGGATCTTGGGGCCATTCTTCATATCAACTGGGGTTGAATGGTTCTGAAAAAATAAGGATTTACACAAAGCTTACACTCACAACCTTGGCCTCTAGGGCTGCACTGCTGTGTAGTCACATGGGACTGTTTATCTGACACTAATTGAAGTGAACTAATATTTTAAAATTCCATTTCTCACTGG